AAACTGGACCATCACGCTTTGAAACTAGTTCACTGTAATTAGAGGCATCCTCCACATCAAAGACTTGAAATCCATTCTGGTAACCAAGTAAGAGGACATGCTTGAAGTGAGACGGACCAAGTTCCAACCTGTCAAAGCCAGCCCATGTTACCTGCTCATGGAAAAAATATCAGAAACACACCAAAGCAAACATAGTTTTCAAAATAGGAAGAAGTGCATTAAGAAGCATTTTGAAACACCTAAAAAAATCCACAGAATTATGAAACTGAATTAAAATTTATCAAACTTATACAAAGGCCGGGAGAGCAGATCAGAGAATATTTAGCAATGATTTAAAATTAAGCCAAATAAGCAACATTCCATGAGAAACCTATCATATTTCATGTCCGGTATAGTTCAAAGGAAAAAAGAAAAGTCCTGAATAATTATCCATGCTTCCCAAAGCACAACCGTCCGGATATGAAACATTGTGAAAGAAAAATTCATGTGTGAGTTCTACTCTATCAGTTCTCCACTGTAAAATGACATAACAATGCAAATTAATTTATATCACAAGGGAGTGCATGGGCGTCTGAACTCTTTACTTTAAAATTTTCCAAACTCATGAAAATTGTACAGACAGAAAGCAGCATCAATATAAAATAAAGATAACAGGTTTGAGTTAACATAGAGCAGATTAGCTTGACTCCAATTCCAAATTGGTTAACATTAACATAGCCAAATTCATTAATTGTACCTTCCATAGTGAAAAAAGAAAGGACTCTGCCTAAATGTTTGAGTATTCAACAACATAGAATAGGACCATAAGAAAATCATGCATATTGGACAACAAAAGGGGGGGGGGGGACTATGCACGTTCTGTAAGATAGACCACTCATTAGAATTTATAAAATTGTATATCTTAGTTTATTTTAGATACAAATACACATATTGCAACTTACTTTACTTAAGAGATTTTTTGTGCCTAACACCTCTTGGGAAATATAATAGTTAAAGTGCCTACAGTGCACCTTGCACCTTAGACAACACTAAGCTACATGATTCTCGACAAGTAATACGGAGTGGTGAGTGCAAATTAGCTTTAAATCACCATTAACTCTATCCGTACACTAGACAACTCTACTAAGTAAACCAAATGTTTTCAAGTACCAAGCAAACTAAAAAATCAGATGATAAAAAGAAAGAAAACAATCGAGTCTGCAATGAAAAGTAAAACCTGATCTTTATGATCTTCCGAAGAGGTGGAAACGGAAGCTGCGACGGAAGCACCAGCGGAGCGAACCGTGGAAGCGACGTTACTAGCATTCGTTGAAACAGTCTTCAAACAAGACGATATTATCCTCAACGAATTCGGCAGTAAGCCATTGTTCCTTCCTTTCCCTTTCCTCATCCTCCTACTATAAACACACTGCTACTCGTACTACAAGTACTCTCAAGCGCCACCCCCACCAACTCTCCTCCGCCACAGTCACCACCTGCATCAGAATTGCCTACCTCCACCTTCACCACCGGCAAGTAGCATCTCCGATCTTCGAGGATCGGATATAACATCTGATTCTCCTGATCGCCACACAGAAAAAAAATCCTCACAACAAACCAAAACTACATAAGCCTACGGCTTGCTTATGGTTTGACTCTAAGGAAAAAAGCTTCTTTCCTCTATCCTCTCTACTCTATATACTCCCTATTCATCCAATCAATTTCATTTTTTTTTTGAATAATTAATTTTTTGAGTTTTTTTTTTAAATAATTAATGCCTGAGATTAAGGGTGAAACCGGAGGTAAATCTTGGTTTCGCGGATGTGGTTTTTGCCTTTTGGATCGCAACACGCAGAAAAGCCTGAAAACGAAGTTTAAATATTAAATTAGCAAAAAAAAAAGGAATTATTATTACGAAACACTGTCACTTCTGTCTTTTGCTGTGATGTCAGTGTGTCAGGCTGTTTGTTCCCATTCTAACATCCATTCTCTAATATTTCTCAATATAACACCTACAAAATCAAACAAAGGATCGTTTCAGGGGTGAGTCTTCTAAGGTTTCTGCGGACTCCGCACCACGATAAGAAATGAGCATTTTAAGGGACGTGCTTTCTAGAGATTTTACTGAACTAAAGCCACAATGACAAATGTGTGTTTCAAGAGGTAATAATTTATGCGGCAGTCATAAAACACGTCCTACGAGGCATATCTTCATCAAATTTCCATAAAATGTATTCTAAAAAATTTACTTTAAAAAATTTTAAAAAAATAAAACTATAAATACCAACAATATAAATTAATACATAATAATTTCATAGTTTATATAGGCATAGTAAAGTAATTATGTTATATTTGCTAACAATGTGGATAAAAGTAAAATGGAATTCTTCTACTTTTTTTTCATGTAGTATTTAATATTTTTATTTATTTCATTAAGTTAGACTTTTTTGTTTCTACTGTTTAAATATAAATTATAGTTTATATTTAAAATTAAATATTTTGTATATGTTAAAAATATTTTAATATTTATTTTTAAATTATGAGTTAAATTTTATTAAGAAATATTTTGATGAAAATATTTGAACTAAAATTAAAACTAATTAAATAAATATATATTTTATAATATTTTTATAAAATATCGTCTAATTCAGTTTGTTAGAGAAAATTTGATATAATTCGGAGTTGTTGATGTTTACATTGGATGCATTTGAAGAAGTCAATCCATATACTCTATTTCCAGTTGCAAATATATCAATTGTTTTCAATCTCTATGAATCTCAACATTAACATCTATAGATTCAAGAATAATTGATTAGCAAGGATCGTATACAAAGTGAAATTCTCACATTTGACAAGTAGCAAAACCAAAAACAAAATTAACTTTTCTCTTTGTCTGAGGCTTACTACCAACGTTCTTCAGAGTAATGGAGAAAGGATTATGGTACGCAAATCATTCTGGAAAAAATATAGAGCAAAGAAATATTATTAATTAAACGGATTTAGTTCATCAACCGAAATAAACATCAATAACTCCAAATTATATCAAAATTTCCCGAACAAACTGAATTTGATGATGCTTTATAAAAAAAATATTTATTTAATTAATTTTAATTATAATTCAAATATTTATTAACAATATTTAACTCATACTTAAAAAATAAATATTTTAACATCTAAAAATATTTAATTTTAAATATAAACTCTAATTTATGTTTAAATATCAAAAATAAGAAACTCTAACTTAATGGAGTAAGTAAAAATATTAAAGACAACATGAGAAAAAGATAGAGAATTTTATTTTACTTTTATCTCACATTGTTAACAAACATAGCATAATCAATTCACTGTATCTATATAAAACTAACACTATTGGGCTATTTAACTCATGTAACTAATATGTATTAATTTACATTGGTGGTTCTTGTAGTTTTTTTTAAAATTTATTATAGTGTATTTTTTTAAGATACATTTTATGAAAATTTGGTGAAGATATGCTTTATATGACATTTTTCTTATGTGATGCCCAAATCTCACGAAGGCACGCCTCTGAAATGTTTTTTTGTCACTGTCGCGCCAACTCAACAAAACTCCTGGAACGTGTGTCTCTTGGAATGTGCATTTCCTATTGTGGTGCTGAGTGAGTAGAAGTATTTGGAAGGCACGCCTTTGAAACGTGCATTTGCTTGATTTTGTCAGAAATGGCTAGAGTGAGAAATATTGGGGAATGAGTGTTAGAAAGAGAATATTAAGATTTTATTTTATTTTTTTGGTAAAAAAGCCTTTGGTTTCAGTAAATTTTGTCTTCGCATTGGGCTTGTTGGATTAACGGCCTGTTCTCGTCTAGTTTTAGGCTCTGTTGGGTTGGATATGAATGTTGTTCATGTGTCTTCCAATGTCTGTGTTTTTTTTAATTACTATTTTGTTCTATTAAATTATTTTTATTATAATTAATTTAAATAGATAATTTTATAAAATATATATTTAAAAATTATTAGATTAAAAGAATATTTTTAATCAAGAGAAAAATGTATTAAACTGAAAAATAAAAATATGATGACAACCTCCAACAATAAGAGCATGCACAAGACAGCTTTAGATACAATTGTTTAGAGAAAATTCCGAATTTATTTAAGAAATAAGAAGAGATATCAAAATAATTGAATCATTACATTAATAGTTTGCAGTTAATGATATGATGACAAGCAGAGGCGGACCCAGGAGCCTTCGTCAGGGGTTGTAAGAGTTTCATGGGTAACACTTTTGAGGGGTGACATTTAGATTAGGGGTGACACTTGTGAAGGGATTGCTTGGGATACTTCGGGCACCATGGAGGTCCACCAGGCTCCATGGAGGTCCGCCCCTGATGACAAGGGTGGCTAGGTAGGCGGATAGCGGTAGCTAGCGGAGTTGCGTGCCGCCAGGGTTGGGTTAAGAATAAACAAACACATGATAATTTAATAGGCAGCCTCCATCGAAAACAAATCAGACTAACGATCAACTGAAACAAAAGAGCTAACCGAAACAAAATCAGACTAATAATTTAATTTTAATTTTAATTTTTTTTATAAATTTGTCATCTAATATAAAATTATATATCCATCCCTATGGTGGAACAATAATCAACCGAAACAAAAGAGCTAACCGAATCTAATTGATTCAGGATCCTTCTCTTAATCTTTTAAAAAATAAATAAAAAAGAGGAGAAAAAGACGTTGGCTCTTTCATGTATTTATCCGACAAAAATTGACTAAACCATGGGATATTCTCTTGCTTTTGCCCCAAAGAGCAAAGACACTGCCATTCTTCCCTTTTGCCTCCTTGGAATTCTCCAATATCTGTTCGGTTCCGATTTCACTCAATTATTGTTTTGGTTAAAATTACTATTATTATATTATATTAGATTGCATCAATATTTTGTTTAGAATTTAATAATTACATATTTATAATAATATTTTAAATGAATAATTAAATTTTAACTTTTTAAAAGAAATGTTATATTTATAATTGAATAACAACGTTGACCCTTTTGTGCACCACTGAATTTTATCTTACTGAATGCAACTTGTTTCTAAAGCTTAGATCTTCACCATTGTAGGTCTCTTCATGAAATGCTTTTCCAAAGAACGGGACCCGACATTGTCTCGCGCTCTTTAAGCTGTTGGGGTTGCCATTAAGCAGCTCTATAACCTGCATGACATGTTAAGAATCAATTGTTTAAATTTTTTTTTGGAGAAAGTTATCAAAGCTACTATCTATATGTGTCACGATCTAACTCGCCGGAACGATCACAAAATGGTCTAACGAGTTGATTCGGAATATATGATGATTGTGAACTTATCAACATGCCTGACTCATTTAAGGGCGCCGTATCGAAGTTTGATGTATGCACATCGATGCTACCAAGAGGACGAGGTTCACTTGTCGAACACTGTAATCTTGTCCAAGAGCAGGATCGATCAGCTCTCTAATGTCGTTTTTCTTTAGCAAAGGTTTTGCCTACCAAAAAAAGGAAAATAAAAGCATAAGCTACATGTGCATACATGAGTCCTTGAGTACGATGATGTGTTTCTAGTGGCGTACCCACAATACAAGGCTCTGCAGAGAGAAATCCAGAGCTCTGCGGCCCGTGACGAGTTCCAGCAACAGTACACCGAAGGCGAAAACATCAGTTTTCTCATCGACTATGCCATGCATTAAGTACTCAGGAGCGAGGTAGCTGCAAAAGAAAGCAATGTAGGACATTGGTTTAGTCATGGAATTTCCTAACTGATAATTGCAAAGGATTGTAGTGTCGGGTATACAAATTTCTAACCCGAATGTGCCTTCGAACTTGGAAACTTTGTGGTGAGTCCATTGTTCTGGTAGCCATTTCGCAAGCCCGAAATCACAAATCTGTCACCAAATTTATTAGTAAATTATGTAAAAATCGAAGCGAAATGTTTACATTTCAGGTTACCTGAGGATCAAAGTCCTTTGTAAGCAAAATGTTTGCAGCCTTGATATCTCTATGGATGATTCTCCTCTTACAACCTTCATGAAGATACCTTAAACCTTCAGCTGTCCCTAGAGCAATCTTAAACCTAATACCCCATGTCAGTACTTCCTTTGAACCTGTAAAAAATCAACGCAAAAACGCCATTCGGGTTCGGATCGATTCGTTTGAAATGTTCATAACCAAGCGTATAACGAAATAATGAACTAACCATAAAGAAGAGAAGCTAAGCTTCCACTAGGGGACAACTCAAGGACAAGATGCATCCCACCTTCAATTCCATAGCCAATTAACTTAACAGCATTGGGATGGTTCACATGAGCCATAATACCAAGCTCGGACAAGAAATCGCCTATAATCTCATCGGGTGTGGCTTTCGTTAGCCTTTTAATGGCAACAAGCTGCCCATTATGTAATCTTCCTTTATAAACTTCAGCATATCCACCCTTTCCAACAAGATTCTCTGTGCTGAAGTTTTTAGTGGCGATTCGAAGCTCGGAAAGAGCGAAAACTTTCCTCGAACACCTACGATTAAATGAATTGCCGTCGGCGAGAAAAACCGGTGCCACGGCAACATTTTCTCGCATGCTACTACTCTTCAACGAGAGCCTGAGTGACCCTAGAGAATGAAAATTGACTAATGATTTCTTCGATTTACTTGTGAATAATTGCCCGAATCCTCGCCATCGTCGAGAACCTTGCTTTGAATTCTGCTCATTTGTTGAATCTATGTTATGTTCTTTGCATGAATGATTCCTTTCAAATTCTTCACTCTTGAAGAAATCCTCGAGGAAACCAGTGGGGGAACATGAATTATCCTTCTTTTCCATTTGTAAAGTTCATTGAGAGGAACCCAAGCTAAATTCCATGGTTCATTTAAAAGAGACAAGACAGGGAAAAAGAAACCCTGTTTCTGTTGTCTCTGTAAATACAATCACAGAAAGATACAAATCACCTAAAACATACAGAGATTAATGAAATTTATGTCGAAAAGAAAGCAACCCAAGAAAGAGAAACTGATACATAGAACATAAAAGACATGAAAACAGGTGTTTGATGAAACATCATGCAAAGTTCATCATTCTAAGCAACAAAGAAAGGAAAGAAAGAGCGACAAGAAATATGAGAAAATGGAAGGAGCAAAGGAATGCGTGTACCATTTGAGGATAAGGTGGAAACTCTTCAGAGATAGACGCAAACAACAGAAAAAAACAACGGGGGGATGAATTGAAGAAAGAAGAAGTGCACATAAATCTTTGCGGTTTACTCTAAGCTATTATCATCGCTTTCTTCTCCTACAATATTGTTTTTAATGATTTCTTCTTCATAAAAAAATATTTTTTATTTCAGAAGTAAATGATAATACGTCAGCTTCATTTTTTAATTAATATTAATAAGGAGTAAACAATTAACTTTAGGCTGCTAATCCGTACTTTGGGAAACATCCGTTGGTCAGAGATGGCTTCAATGAATCTCTTCGACTTGTGGCACGTGATATAGTTAAACACGTGGATTTTTAATGTTGTTTACGCTGTAACATGTAAGAACTCCGCCTCAGTTCCATGAACGGACAATTTAATTAAATATAATATTCGGTATTTAAAAATTGATTTGAGGTGTCTATTTAATATGTAATAAAAGGACAAACTTTTATATTTATAAATGGAATTAATATTTTGAATCTTTCTACTAAAATCTAGGCAAGTAAATCATTATCTAAACAAAAATTCATTCCTTTTAGGGTTTATGGACAATACTACGAACGTGTCATGTTGCTAAGCTTTCGTTATATTTGGTCAAAATATTAAAAACTGTAATTTACTCCAAATTTAATTATGAAAAAAAATCATTTTGACAGATATAGAGATGGCCACGGTGAGTCGGACGATAAATATTTTTCACTAAAATCATCGAAATGCAAAATTTAATAGATTTAGATATAGCACGAATTAAATTATCTTAGTGATTAAATAAATAATTATTATGTTTAGAAATTTCAGATTCGAGCATCATATATTACAAGATATTTGAGTGTTCATTGTTAAATGATTGAAAGTCTTTACAATTGTGTCTCATTGATAAATTAATTTTAGATAAAATAACTTCAGTGACCGAAAATGTCTTATAATATACGATTTTAATCAATTTTTTTGGATTTGCGAAAATGACCAACAAATTCGCAACGCGATTTCAAAATCGTAACGCGAACACCAGTTTCGCAACACAGTTTTCAAATTCGCAACGCGATTCTCCAAAATCACAACGCGAATTTCGTTTTCGCAACGCTAATTACCGACATGGGTAAACATGCAACTCAGTTTTCAAATTCGCAACACGATTCTCCAAAATCGTAACGTGAATTTCGTTTTCACAACGCTAATTACCGATATAGGTAAACACAACTATTCGCAACTCAGTTTTCAAATTCGCAATACGAATTTCGCAACTCGAATTCTCCAATTTTGTAACTAAATTACCGATATAGGTAAACTCGATAGAACAAATATGGTAAAAATCCGAATTCGACAATTTAAAAATTGAGTTGTGTTTACCTATATCGGTAATTAGCGTTGCGAACTTGGAGAATCGCGTTGCGAATTTGAAAACTGAGTTGTGAATAGTTGTGTTTACCTATATCGGTAGTTAGCGTTGCGAAAACGAAATTCGCGCTGCGATTTTGGAGAATCGCGTTGCAAATTTGAAAATTGACTTGTGAATAGTTGTGTTTACCTATATCGGTAATTAGCGTTGCTAAAACGAAATTCACATTGCGAATTTGAGAATCGCGCTGCGATTTTGGAGAATCGCGTTGCGAATTTGTTGGTTATTTTCACAAATACAAAAAAAGTTGGTTAAAATCGTATATTATAAGGCATTTTCGATCACTGAAGTTATTTTCTCTTAATTTTATCAAAATAACTATAATATATCTTTAATGATTGCAAATATCTATTAATATCTGGTCAAAAGATACAAATCAATGATAAATCAATAAAATAATCTAATAAACACCCTTTGAATGGACAAACCTCAAATCTAACATTGGGAATAAAAGAAAATATGTGTTACAATAACATACAAATAATGTGCAACAAAAATAGATAAAATCATCCACCAGCTTCGTAAGAAAAGGAGAAGACTAATTAGATAAAATAAAATAACACAAAATCTAAAAATAAAAAGACCACAATGAAAAAAGAAAGAAAGGAAGAGTCAAATATCAATAACTAATTATCATTATTGACGGTAAAAGATAAACACTATCAATATTGAATATCTATCAGTATGAGAGAATCTGTAACATCCTCCATACCGGGTTAGTGATCAAATTGTGAAATTTTAAAATTTAGTGAGCAAAGTAGATAAATTGAATAGTCGAAAGATTTAATGAGAATGTTTCATGTAGGATGGATAAGCAAAGAAGGGAAATTAAGAGGGTAAATTAATCTTTTAGCAAGAGAAATAATTAAATCTTATTTGAGGATATTTATTCCCACGTGGAAGCTAGTGAGAAAGACCAAAAGTTTCCAGATTTCTCTTCTTCTTCTTTCTTCTTCTTCATCGTGAAGACAAAGTTAGAGGTGAGTTTCTTGTTAATCAAATTCTTGATGAATTTAAGGTTGCTTATTGATCATTAGATGATAACTAAGCTTAAGGAAAGCTTAGGTTATCTTAAAATCATAAGATGATAGGGTTAGGAAGGATTAAAGAAAGGAAGTAGAAAAGTAAAATCTTGGAATAGAGTTCATAATACAAATTAGAAGTGGGATTTGACTTGTCATCAAGCTAATTAAAGGATATGAAGTGTTAGAATTCGATTTAGAACATGTTGGAAATTGAATGAAATTCTTAAATTTTATATGGAGAATTGGATTTCTAAGTTTTAAAGGTATGAAATGGATAATAATTAGTTTAAGTGTATGCAAGTTAGGGATATAAAAGGAGGTGAAATATAAAGTGTAGAGAAGATTATAAAGAGATTTCCGTGCTTAAAATGACATTTTCTGGGCTATGTGCATCGTTGCACATTCAATGTGCACCGATGCATCAAGGATAAATCCCAGAAATTGTTCAAGGTGTACCGATGCACATGAAGTGCATCGATGCACTCTTTTAAAATACAAACATCGAATACCATCAGTGCATCGATGCATAAGGAGTGCATTGATGCACCCCTTAAATATAAACATCGAATAGGATTTATGCATCGATGCATGGTGTGGTGCATCGATGCATCCTTCATTAAAAGATGAAAATGGCTTTTCTTTTAGCCCAAGAAATGATAGTTTAGAATACATTAATTAGTATACTGATTAGCATCAATGAATTACTATGTAGATACCGAGCCTAAACAAGTTCCACAACAATTGCCTCGTAAGATCGATCGAGGAAAAAGCAATGAAATATAGGTGAGTGCATATGCATAGCATGAATATAGTATTCTATTCAGTTCTAGACTTGTGATAAGTGTAGATTCAAATATTTTGATACATGATCGCATTTCATATTATGATACATGACATGAATTCATATTATATGCATTAAGTGACATGAATATGCATGAAAAGTTATATAAGCTATGTGATAAAGTGATGGAACATGATATGTTCATGTGATAAAGGTATGGAAATTATATGTCTATACAATATAAATTATGGGAATGGTGAAAGCCCATGTTATGTAGATGAGAACTATAGGTATAGTTGGCATGCCAAGGGTGGAGGGTCTACGCGGTCCTTCGGGATATATATGTATTCTTTGAAACATGTGTGAGGTCTTTTAAGACACATACTTGATCCTTGGCATATGTATATATGATTCTTAAGGAAATTTTCTACGTGGTCCTTAGGGACAATCTTATATGGCACTACGGTGCAATTCTACGCGGCACTTCGGTGCAATTCTACGTGGCACTTCGGTGCATTTATACGAGCTGTGGTGACAACATAGTGCACAACCTCACAGTACTCACTTACCTTAGGTTCTCAGTATGGTATCATGGGTCAATAATCTTACTAATATGAATTCATGAATGTTATATTTTATGCTTACAAATAAAGAACATGGTGATATACACTGCATGGTTAAGCATTTGATTTCGTCTCATTCCATTTAATTATGGCATTTCCATTACATTTCTTTGTTATCATTATTATTATATTACCTCACTAAGTCGATGACTTAGCGTGTGAGTGTTTCACACGTAGGATCCGAGAAAGTAGACGATCAAGGTTAAGCAGCTGAATAACATTACTCCTGCAACTATCAGATCAGAGGCAACTTGAGCAGTAAGTCCTTTTGTTATGTAAATGAATGTTGGCATGTAATCAAAGTGTCAAGTGATGTATGCTCTGATTATTTTGATAAACTTGTATTAATATATGTATAGTATTGTATTTTAATAAAATAAGTTTGAATGTTTTATCGGTTTTTTTTAAAAGTGTTGTTTCGTTTAGTCAATGTGACATTCTGGACTCGTATCCGGTCGGGTATGAGTTGAGGGTGTTACAGAATCAATCTTTTTATTTTTTTTTGTGACAATGATAATTAGATTTCATTAATAAAAATAAAGTAAATAATTATAATTACAACACAACTAAGCATCTTTCTAGAGACAAAAGTCACCAAAAAACACATACAAAAACAAAAATATTAAACTTAAAGATATGAAGAAAAACGAAACATTCTCTTGAGAATCTCTCGAGAATGACAACCAACATCAAAAAGAATTTAGTAACCTTCATAAAATTTCTTTTCCTCAGTCGAAAGAGATGATTTACGAAGTAATAAAGGAGTCGTGAGCGAACCAAACTATCTGGCGGACTGTTTCGCTACACAATTCTTATTATATCGGCAAATAATCTTTTATCAAATAGGGGTTTGACTATACTTGATTATCGACAATCC